TTTCCTTGCATATATAATGAACATCTTAACAATGTTTTCAGACAGTTTTTAACATAGTTAGAACATATAGCTTAATTATGTTAACACAATTTTAACATAGTTTTTAGTCTCTTGGCCTATGGACAACACACACACACCAGACAATACTGTCAGAGAATATAGTAACCTATATGTTGTACATGTATATTATATGTATATATTAATTATATGCTTATTGTTATGGCATATCTAGATGTCCTCCTAAAGCCTCATGTGGTCATAGGTGGATGGATCTAGAATGTGAGCCATTGTGCCGGAATTGATTCATAATGCAATGCCAGGATCAAGGGCACTAAGATTAAAGGTGTGAGTGCTACCTGCTCTAAGGAGCCTGGATAAGATATAAGGGATAGAAAGAGCTACGGTCTTTGCTTGTTGCTTTACCTTATGCCCCCCCCCAACAAACTGTCCTCTGCAATGCTCATCTGCCATATCACCCAGCTTTGGAGCCAGCCAACTATGGACTGGAACCCCTAAAAACTCTAAGCCAAATAAAACTTCCCCCTTTAACTTTGAGTGTGAGGTATTTTGTCTCAACAATGAGAGAAAAGTAACTAAGGTATTTAAGATATTTATATAAGACAGAATCTTAGACATTATGTAATAAATTCTTTACCTCACCTATATACCTTTTAATGTCAAGGGTACAAAAATTTAAATACATGATATATATCATACAAAAGAATTCTACAAACAGATACTAAATATAACTCTGTTAATATTCTGGTTTCCTGTCCAATTGCCTTGAATGTTCTATTTGTCTTTCCCTAAGAGATTTTTCTGCTCCTTCCTCAAAGTTATTCCTATCATTCCTTCAGCAAGTAGTTAGCTCACCCTGAAGTTTCCCCTAAAATCATAGACCAGCTCTAAGTTCTTTGTCATAGTCTCTCATTACACACTGTAGATATCTGCAAATTGTAATTACAAAACATAATGCTTATTTAGTATCTTAGTTCTGTAGGGTCTTTAGAACATGACTTAGCTATCTTATTTTCTCTTTTATCCCTAGAAGTGAATATAGAATTTTACAAAAAATAAATGAACAATTATGAAATGTTAGAAATTTTTTGTTATTTATTAAAATAAAATAAATTATAATCATAGACTTATTACTCTCAAAAGGAGTACTGTGTTGCTATTTCCCCATTTTTTTCTTCTGGTTTGGAAAATACTGTTTATTTTTCTGTTCAGGTAAATTCAAATAACGCAGACAGTTTTTCTTTTAAGAAATACTGCTACTTAATAAGTAATCCCAATAACTTATTTTTTTTACCTAGTATTCTCCATCTTATATAATATTTGATTCTACTTAAAATATTTGTTGCTTATAATTTATTTATTTTAATGCTTATTTTATTTTCCTCAAAAATCAGTACAGAGCTGGGGATGTAGCTCAGTGGCACCGTGCCTGCCTTGCAAGCACAAGGTCTTAATATCCTTGGTACAAAAAAAAAAAAAAAAAAAAAAAAATCAGTAGAGATAGCTATAACTGTTTGATAGTCTTCAAAATAAAATATTCTTTGTAGAGAACATCTATTTTGCCTAGCCAGCTTTCTTTCAGACTGCCTCATGTATTTCTTGAGGAAATTCTCATTTCCCCAATATTACCATCATTTTGATGGATCTGCCAATGCATATTCCTGTTTTCCCTAGCCATAGAGTGGGGCTGGTCATCAGACTGAGCCAAAAACCTTACTACATTTTTATTTCTTTAATCAATTATTTTATTTTATTTTTTTCTCATTGAGTTTATTGGTACTTTTTAAAAATACAGTACAGTTACATTTATTATTAGGATCTTGTACCTTCACATGACATATCTTGGTTCTCATTTTTTTCCCCATACCTCTTCCCTCCCTTAACCCCATCCCCCATTCCACCAAGACTTTGTTTCCATTTTTTTCATTTTCTCATATTTTTTTATTTTCCCTTATTTCCTTTCCCCTACCCTTCCCTCTTCTCCTTAGCCCTTTTCTTCCTATTTCACATTGTCAATTATACAATTTGGATCTTATTTACACTTTTAGTTTTTCATACCAGAGAAACTATTTGGTATTTACACATGTGTGTCTTATTTATTTCACTTAAGAGTATGGCCTCAAGTAACTAATCCAAATGCTGGACACATAACCCAAGCTGCATCAGAGATCTCCCCAAAATATATTTGGAAGAGAAAGTGATAGTCATGGTGGTAGTGGGACTCTTCTCCCTTCATTAAAAAACTAAGCTCAACCTAGAACTGTTGGCACCTCTAAAAGAAAGATTTAAGGCAAAAGAGAAAAGAGGCAAAGAAAAAGAATAGTGGTAATTTTATTCCCTGGATTCAGAAGATCATAAAACAAGTTCTGGTCCTTGCTCTTCCCTGGTGTAAAGATTTATCTAATAAATAATCCCTACTCTTTTTTGTTTTCTTCTTATCTAGGTTAAGATTTTTTAATTTACAAACAAAAAATCCTAAACACTCCTGTTTTCCTGTAGATGTCACAAAATGAATTAAAAAAAAATTACTTTTAAACAATACAGTTAAAAACTGCTTCACTTTTACAAATCAAACATGTGATATTCTAAACTCTTCTTTCCTCCTACAATTTTAAACATGCACAAATTTTAAAGCACAATGTACACAGACTTTTAAATTCTTTTTATTTGTTGTACATCCCAGATAATTTCAACACTGCAACTTCCAACCTTCCTCCATAACTCTAAATTTTAAGTATTATATTTTTGTTATTTCTATGTCAGTTTTGTATCTCATTCCTTTTATACAGCACGATGCTGATGTTTAATGTTGTATTTATCAGGTATCCTTAAAAAGGCTTAGATTGATTTCATTTTAATTTTTTTGGTTTTTAATTCTTCCAGACATTTTTAGTTTTGCTTTCATTGTCTTTTCATATTGAATGTATTCTTCAAAAATCTGATGATTCTTGAATAACCATTAATATATAAAACTAAGGTCATATGCTGGTAATTGGGAGCTCTAAAAGCATGTCTGGAATTTCTTGATTGATCAGATTTTCTTTAGGATAAATAATTAGCTAACAATTTTGATGAGGAATCCTTAAATTACATAAGGCTCAGTGACACTGCTCTGGTATCACTTAATTTCTTTAGAAAAAAAGAAAGCAGTAATACTGTCACCCCATCCCATCCTGGTCCTGGTGACTGGCTTGAAGGAAAAATCTGCAATTAATTCCTGTATTTGCAGTCTCCTGAATTATCTCATTCTCTACTCAATATCTGCATCTTACATATTCAAATTCTATACTTTCGGCAGGGGGGGGGAATAAGGTAAACAGATTTTTTCCTATAAGACAGAGAATAATCTTCATTTTTTAATCGGTTTTTAAATTTTTTTTTTACTTTTTTAAAGTTTTATGAATTATCAGTATGTATATACCTAAAAATAAATAAAACTGTAAGAGTTTCACAAATAGGACTTATCCTGTGAGACATACTCTGATACTTTTGTAATGGTGAGAAATAATTTCACAATCCACCACTGTGGAATGAGTGTAATCTGAGGCTAAATGAACATAAGCAAATTAAGCTGTCACTTGCTTCACTCCCCAAACTTCAGAATACTGTGGGTCTCTTTCATTATCTTTCTCTATAAGCTTATCCCTGTATATTTCTTATATTTTAATTCTTTACCATAATTTTAGAGTGCTCCTAGGAGAGCACAAAGGAAAACATCTAATTTGTAATTTTAACTCAAACTTCTCCACAGGATTTTTTTTTTTGTTCTTTTATTGAGTTTATTGGTACATTTTAGGTATACAGTACAATTACATTCATTATTGGAATCTTGTACCTTTACATCACATGTCTTGGTTCTCATTTTTTTCCCCTTATCCCTGCCCTCCCCTTCACCCCTCCTCCCTTCCCCATTTACAAACACTTTATTTCCATTTTTTTATTTTGTCATATTTTTTTTCTTTTCCCCTATTGCCTTTCCCTACCCTTCCCACTTTCCCTACACCTTTAGCCCTTTTCTTCCTATTTCACATGGTCAGTTATCTCATTAGGATCTTATGTACTATTATAGATTTTCACACCAGAGAAACTATTTGGTATTTACACATGTGTGACTTATTTATTTCACTTAGGAGTGTAACCGCAATATGTATCCATTTTCCTATGAATGAATCTAATTTTTCATTCTTTATGGCTGAATAATATTCCATTTTATAGAAAAACCATATCTTCTTTACCTAGTTTCCTACTGATGGGCAAATGGGCTGTTTCCATGTTTTAGCTATTATAAACTGTGCCGCTATAAACATAGGTGTGCATATATCTCTGTGGTATGATTCTTCCAGTTCTTTTGGAAAGATACCCAGCAGTGGGATGGCTGTGTCAAATGGAACCTCTAGTCCCAGATCTTTGAGGTGTCTCCATATTGATTTCCATAGTGGTTGCACCAGTCTGCACTCCCACCAACAATGGAGAAGGGTTCCTTTCTCCCCACAACCCCGCCAACATATATGAATAAATGTTCCACATCACTGGTCATTCGAGAAATGCGGATGAGAACAACACTGAGATTCCACCTCACCCCACAAAGAATGGCTGCTTTCAAGAAATCATCCACAGGATTTTTAAGAGGAATTTCCTAATCTTTTTTTGGCCTGCCTTAAGGATCCTCTCCACTAATTTTCATAGCCTCAATTGCTGTATACTGGGATTTAATATTAGAGCTTTTCAATGCATTCTGGAGAATTAAACACAAAGTACTACAGTGAACAGAAGAATCTGTGTTATCATAATTCCATTCAACTCTAAGACTAAAAGGAAATTGTAGTTAAATATTCAAAATTAAACTTAAATACTTAAATGAAGAGGTAACAATTTCTTTTTGAGGGAAGGCTTTAGAAGTTTCTTCCTCAGAAGAAATAATCAAAAACCAACTGTGAAATATATCAAGAAAAATAAAGTGTTTATAAGTAAAAAGTACTTACACAGCAAGACTACTCAAAACATATTGTACGTGCTCACATTCATCTGGGAATGATGCACTGGCTGATGTAAAGCAACAAAGTGCAGTCTGAAGAACCTGAAGCTGCGGCAAAGGGACCTGCCATCTTCCAGCGTAATCTTCAACCACCTGACAAGGAAGCGACCCAAAAAGTACATTACTACTGAAAGTGCTCGTAACTCTTTAAAATGTGGATAAAACTATATTAAAATAATAATTTAGCACAAACAACAGATGACTTTGAGGAGTGGGGAAAGTGTTCTATTTGCTTCATGGTATATCTGAAAAAAATCAATTATTATCTTTGAAAATGTGGAAAAGAAGTACAGTATATGAATGACTGTCATGTTCAACTGTCCAACCTTTACCAAATTTTGTTACAAATGCCCTTTAACTACTATATTCAGCTTGCAGTTCTGAATATCTAGGAAAGTAAAAAGGACTATAAGCTTACTGGTCCCCAAGTAAGGTAACTCTGTGCAAAGCAGACAAGGGCAAAAAAGTAAATTAGATAAACAGTAGTTCCCTGATTCTAAAATTTTTTCTTCACTAGTCTTTGACTAGCTTTATTTTCTCCAGGGCACCATACCATTTTGTCATTACACAAAAAAATACCTGTCTGACAAACTAACATTTTTTGTTTCTAGTCCCAAATAGTTTGTCCTAATTCATGTTTCCTTACAACCTTATTCATTTCTTACACATGGATTGGGTTTATTTCCTTAGAAAAGAAGCTTTCTACTTCCCTACGTTTTGTTCTCAGTAGCGCTTCCCTTATTCACCAAAATTCAGCTATCACTATCTTGCCTGGTCTAGTTGAGTCCAAATCTAACATAATAAAAGCCTTTTTTGGCAGTGCCTCCAATAGATTGGCTACAAGACCCTTGAAGAGACATAAAATAAAATGAAATGTATTTTTTTTACACTGTATAATATCATGCCTGGCAGTGGAAATGCATTATAACACTTTTTGTTTCTTTGAAATACTTTCCTTAACATATAAAGCGATTATTATCACATTACCCTATTACTTGGAAACTTTTTTCCTATCCTGTGACTGCTATCAAAAGCTTTCAGCTAATGACAGCTGACACAATGAAATCATGTGAATGTGATTACTACGCCATAGAACAGACAGCCAACAGATCTTCCATCTTCTTCCTTTTCCTTATTTTAATAGATAAAAGTCTTAATGATGGACAGGATAATACTCAAGTTGCTGCAAACAGGAATAGTTTACCTAGACCTTAAAAATCGACTCTTACTACAGTTCTAAATTACTAAAGAAAGAAAGTGACCTAAGAAATAGAAGATTAAAGTCAGAAGTCCTTTAGGCATTGGTAGAAATCCTCTTTTCATGTTGAAAGGCATAGTAAAAACAATTTATGGAGGCTGTATCAATACTGATGACAGAAGTTATAGCCAAGGCAAGAAGTAAGCCACAGGGCAAAGCTACTGCCAAAGAAAGGTACTGGAATAGTCTAAGCCTGCAGCTCTTCCTCTTCATTCACACTTAATGGGAAAATACACCTTGCACAAAAAGGGATAGTTCAGTGATGTCAAAGCTTTTAGATCTTTCAGTGATAACAAACAGACTGCTGAGGCACACACACCATAGGTAAATTGACACTGGTGTATACTGTGTAACATCACACTCTAATTTACCAACATAAATTAATATGAGCATGAGCCCATTCTGTCAAAAGTTTCAAAATGTTGGATTTAATGTAAACATTTAAAACTAAAATTACATTATCTAGAAACATTAAAATACATCATCCAAACTGTTATGGACTAAATTATGTCCTTCTAAAATTCATATGACAAAGCCCTACTCACAATATGACTGTCTTTGGAGATAAGGCTTTTAAGAGGTAATTAAGAAAATTAGAAAAGGCCATATAAACACACAGCAAGGTGACAATGTGCAAGCAAGAAAGACACCCCTCACAAGGATGCGACCATAGTAGCACCTGATCTTAGACTTCCAGCTTCCAGAACTGTTAGAAAATAAATTTCTGTTGTTTAAACCACCTTGTCTGGGACATTTTATTACAGCAGCCTACGCTAATAGATACCCTAAGCTAATACAGAAAGACTGCCAAAGTAGCAATTTAGAAAAAAATAACAAAAGTGCTGAATTAAAATGTGGTTATGTGTCTAATTGAGCTCTCCTTTTTTTCTAACATATCAATGCAGAAAAAACAAATATTAGTTTGTTATTGAACAAACAATGATCTTGACATTAAACTCAGGTAATAATAGGTTAGATCATTGACAACTTTATTTCTATTGGTTGGCTATTCAAATTGCCTCATGCTTCCTAAATTTCCTATTGTCATTAACTTTCATTATGTTAAACATTTCACAGTTCACAGGTATCAGTCAAGCTGTTCACTAATAATTTCATTCCTTGATTAGAGTGAAAACATCCACTTATTAAATCTGATTAACAAACCAGAAAACATCACAATTAGCTTCTATTCTATGAACTAAAACAAATGACTGTAATACTTGTCTGCACTAACTTGCTGAAAACTAATTACTACAATCTGTATACTCAGAAGCTTGCTAATTTTCCACATCTAAAACAAACATTAGGGTAGCCTTTTCCCTATACTCCCCAATCTTGTTCTCTAAACACCATTCTCCAGTAAAGGAATTTGAAGAATATGTGCTTGATTCCAGCACAGGAGCAAGTAAAATGCAAGGTGAACTTACAATATCTTGTGGTGCCAGAGAGTAAAGAAATACCTTCAAAAAGCCCAAAGATATAAGAACACAAGAGCCAATCTGAAAGAGTACCTTAGCTGATAAAACTAGACCAAAAATAAGTACATGTCGATGAGACTATTCTTCACAGTGGAATCACAATAAATGTAGAAGGAAAGAAAGAAATACTAGAGAATCACCAACAAGCAAAATTGTACAGTAATACATGTTTCAAACAAGATCCATGCTATTAGTGAGTGCAAGTCTGAAAAGATTTGCAGTCTCAAAGTATCTTTCCCAAGACAATTATCAACTAAAAATATAAAGACAGTGAATTTAAAGAGAAAGCCTAGCAACACAAACTTAACCAAAGCATCAAAGTAAATAATACCAAATAGTAAAAATACCACTAGTAATAAAACATATCATAATTTTGCACCTCTTGATGTGATACACACTAAAGCACATTACCATCTCAGTGGTATTCTTGCCAAAAATGCATAAATTCATTCTAATCACATGAAATTGTCAGACAAATCCAAACTGACAGGTACTCTACAAAACAACTAATCAGTACTCTTTAAAAAGTATCAAGATCATTAAAGATAAGACTGAAGAACTTTAAAAATTGAGTCAGTTTTTAAAAGTTAATACTATTTTGTTCCAAACTTTCCCCTCAAATTTCAATGTTCTAATTTATTTTTAGAGAGTATTTTATAAATTCTACACTTAACTTTCTTTAATCCATTATTCAACTGTACCTCAAAATTTACCCACATATATATAAAAATACATATGTATATGTATATATAAATGAAGCAAGCAGGTAGGCAGTACCATGAAAAGAATATAGGCTCTAAAACAAAAAAGACCTGAGTCTGAATTCTAGCTGTCATTTGTTAGCTGTACAACTTTAACAAAGTCAATATATTTCTTGGTCTAAGTTTCCTATTTGTTTTAAAAAAGGAAGGGAAGTCTAAAATTTCAGTCATTTTTAAAGCCTACCAAAATGGATAAAAAATAAAATTGTAACAATTAAAAAGTTGTTTGGACTCTGCAAAACACAATCTACAGTAGCAAATGATTCAAAATCCAGTCCTTCACCAGGCATGGTGGTGCACTCCGGTAGTTCCAACATTCTGGAGGCTTAGACAGAAGGACTGCTGTGAGTACGAGACTACATAATGAGTCCAAGGCCAGCCCAAATTACAGATCAAGACCCTGCCTCAAAAACAAACAACAACAAAACAAAACCCAGTACTTTTCCATATTTAGTAGAACATGCTCTTCATACCCTTTGTTCAACTCACTACTCACTATTACATAAGCTGGTACAACAGGAGGTAGTTTTTGCTAGTTGGCTCATTATATTATTACTTCCAGAGGGTTAAACAATATTAATATTGGTAGGGATGGATAATTTGTTTCTTCAAACGTCAATCTGCTTAATTTTAGTTTCATTTATTAGTTCTTCAGTAGGAAGCAAAAACTGTGACATCCATCAGTTCTAGTTTGATTATATAAACAAAATGCAACAATCTGTTAAGACAGCTGCATACACGCTATATCTTTATTAGTCTTTTCTCTAAATACATACCACTTTCAACCATTTCCCTATAGAATCCAAGTTTTCCACAGTTTTCATAAGTGTATTTTGTTCACATTCCAAATTGCTGTCCATGTTCCTTTTAAAAACAGTTCCAAGAATGGACCATAAGACTTCATGCCAACTTCAGTCAGAATCAGTAGAGCAATATAATCAGTGCATGGTTACTTTAGGTCTTATTGATTCTGAGTCAGCAAAAATGCTCTTTTTCACACAGATTATTAAGCCAGTTCTTCTGCTTCCCTTAAGTTTCACTTTTCACATTCCTCAGCATTAGCCCAAACCTTCGGTTCTACATTCATTGCTAAAACTTTTACTCCCAGCTCATGTCACTTTAAATCTGAAAGGGAGATTTTTTTTATGTTATTATGAAGGTTATATACAAATAATTAAAACACAGACATATAAGGGACTTATGCAGATTCTTCAATTTTATATACTATATATTCTTCTAAAGTGTTCAAATCATTACAATACTAATACTAATCCAACTGCTCCCCCATTTCTCCATCTGTCCATAAGAATGTCATGAGAGTATCTATAAAAAAGAAACTAAAATAAATGTGCTGGGTCTATTACCTCCTATATCTACTACTAGTAACGCTATTTTAATGAATCCACAGTGATGGCTAAAGATAAGGATACCCTTGTTTATTGATTTATTAAACTGTTCAGTAATTTTACTCAACATTATACTACTTTTAGTAATACAGATTTAGTAATATAGATTCATAACCCATTAAAAAATAACAGAAACAGAATATTTTCCCATATCTAGATTGGCAGCACCTCTTCAGTTCATTGTTTCTTC